TCATACATCTTCTGTGGCCTGGGTTACTTGTGCCGTGAAAGCGCTGGCCCGCTATCTGTGAAATCAGTCCGCGGCAAAACTAAGCCGCTCTTTAGGATGGGGCCGAGGGTACCAACGAGAGAAATGGGGAGGAAGCCAAAACAAAACAACTGCCTCCTAGCCGGATTGAACGACTGACCTCAGCATATCGACCTCATTTGTACGAGTGCTGCGTTCTACCACTGAACTAAAGAGGCACCGTAACAGCTTCGTCCCACTTCGTTGCACCCGTCATCAATCCTTCCTGTGGATCCACAGGTCAGTTTTAAGGCAAGCCACCTCAGCGTACGCTATTCACATGACCGCCAGTTCTTTTCGACGACATGTGTTCTACATGTTGAAGCACAGCCGTGGGCCATGTGTCTGACCGTTGCCGGTGTACGTTTATGTTTTGGTTATGTTTAACTCATGTTACAACTTACCCTGTGTAAATAAGACTCCAGGTCTCTTCCCTTCCGTAGACGCGTAATCCAGGTCTGTCGAGTCATCCCCGTTGTGGATGGCCGCCTGGGGGGAGTCCCCCAGCTCAAAGACCTGGTACGCTTCTAGGAAGCCTCCTCCCTTTTCATCCCCATGCGTCGCGTCTCCCTTACTATGCGTCGCGTCGCCCCTACGACGCGTCCTGATGCCCTTACTATGCGTCCTGAAGCCTTGACTTCACGTCCCAATGCTGTTACGACGTTAGAACACGTCTCAACACCGTTACACGTTGAGCAGCGTGAGCAGCCGCCGCCCATCCGAGGACCACCGCCGCCCCAGCGAGGACCTTGCCACCGCCGCCACAGTGCAGACACGTATGGCGCCGGCCGCGCGAGCACCGGAGACAACTCGTACACCGCAAGTACGACCTCTCGCCGCCTCCCTCTCAGGACACGACCCGCCGCTCCGAGGACCGCGAACGTGACTTCTGCCGCTCGGAAGACCGCGAACACGAGTACCGGCCGCTCCGAGGACCGTGAGCGCGACTACCGTCCACCCCGCGGCGGTGCCACAAGCGTCAGCGGCATGAGCGACAGCAGCAACCTCACGGCGCAGGGGCCGAGCACAACCGCCACGAGCGGCATGATCACCCCCAACAAGAGCACCATCGAGGAGGAGGCGCGGGCTCGTCGGACCGCGATTGCGGCGGGTTGCGTGGGGGCCTGCAGCGAGAGCTGGACGAGCTGTGGGAGACGCGCCAGCAGGAGAAGAACCGCGAGGCGCGGCGCGCGCAGGATGACAAGGAGGAGATGCGCGTCCTGCGCTACCGCTGCGAGCGGCTGGAGGCGGAGCTGGAAAGCGAGCAGGCCGGCGGGGTTGCGTTTCCTGTCTGGTTTTTCTTGCGTTGGGGCTGATATTTTGCAGGCGGACTCGGAGACTGTCGACAGCTACGGACCGACATGGAGGGCCTCCTCACAGAGCTCGGGGACCTCTCGCGCCGGAACGACGAGCTCATGACGGCCAAAGGACGCGGACCTTGTTGTCATACGCGACCTCGACAACCAGCTCAATGACTACAAGCGCAAGTACGAGCAGGCCAAGACCGAGCTACGCAGCGTCAAAGGTGTGTGCCTTATTTTCCTCGTCGGCATTCCCCGCTGAATTTTTACATTCAGCAACCTCGCAGCTGTTCTTGCAGGCACCCAAGATGGACCGGCCAGAGGACCAGCTGCCCGTGTCGAGTGACGGCGGCGTGCTCGACATTCACGTCATGGCCTTCCTGTCTGCCATTGACAGCCTCCTCACCGCCGGCCGCTCCAACGCGCCGACCCGCGTCCTGACGGCCATGAAGGCGGTCGTCAACGCCGTTTTCCGCCATCGTGCACGATGTGCGCGCCTTCAAGGCCCGCCCGTCGCGCGAGCAATCCGACGTCGACCTCGACGCGCTCTCGGGCCTCCGCGAGCGCGCGGAGGCGACGCTCACCAACCTTGTCGCCGCGACCAAGACGCACGCCACGAGCGCGGGCATGTTGCCCGTGAGTCTGCTCAACGCCGCGGCGAGCCACGTTGCGGTGACGGTCACCGAGATCGGGCGCACGATCTGCATCCGCAAGGCAAGCCGCGCAGAGCAGGAGCAGGCGTCGATTAGCGCGTACACGCCTGTGTCGGCGACGAACGGGTTCGCGCCGTCGCTGCGGTCGGTGGATGAGGGCGGGGGCAAGACGACCCCGCCTCGGAGGCGGCAATGGGGCACCAGCGCAAGGCGAGTGCTGCGCTGTCGACGAGTTCTGCGCGCAGCTCGTTAGTACCTTCGCCATTGTACGACGCACGGCGGCGACCGCCGTCAGAGAATTACTGTATGCTGTAGATTTTCTGGCTGGTATAATTCCGGCCTGTGGATCCACAGGACGGAATTAATATAGGACATGCCGCTCCTCTCTGCTGCAGCCCCCAGCAAACACGGTGGCAATGCCACCATAGGGCACTACGGTAAGACCCAGCGTACAGCGCTGCCACCGGTTTTGCTGGGGCCTGCAGCAGAGAGGCGTAGCAGAAGAGGAGGAGCTTACCTGGGTTCGTGGTGGTGGTACAAGACGAATAATAACATTGCGATTGTGACAAAATCACAAGGGTTGCTGGTCCACGCTTCAGTTCAGTATGACACCCAGGATCTGTGATGTTTCCGCGAAAGAAATCGACGCAAAGGAAGTTGAATGAACTCAACCATCGGACTTTCGGCCGTGCCGCTCAAACAGCACGTGTTCAGTTCTCACTCTTCGCCAACTTCTTGCCCACCGTTCTTGACGCTCTTCTGGCCTATTCACGCTGCTGAGGAAAATCTGAAATGTTTCTTGAGGTCAGACTCACACTTGGTAGAGTTTGCTGACCAATTTGGCATGTAGAACACGTCTCAACAATGTTCGACTGGCACTCCCATTTTCGTCCCACCAGCGCCTCTGCATCTGTGCTTACCTGGATTATCTCACTCTCAAGGCCCTGGGTGACTGTATCTATCGTTGACTTCGTGCATCGTATCGTGTTTTGCGCCTTGTCTTCCTCCTTTCTTTGGCCAGGTGTCCCACTTCAATGCCTTTATTGAGAGATGTGAGTATGTCAACCTATCGTGCTGAACAAGTTACTAACGACTGTTTCGTTGTTTCAGTTCTCTCTAGGGTGTATGCAGCGGCTTCCTTCTCGCTTCTTGTTTTTTTGGGCGACTCTCCCTCTATGGCTTTTCTTTTCTTTTCTTACCGTGCATTCGCTTGGGTGGCCTTTTTGCACTCCTCAGCACTTGTTGCTCCTTTTACTTCTCGCTGATTTTCTCGGCGTGCCTGAATTGGTTCGGGTCATCGCACCGGTGTCAACGTCGCGGATGAAGAAGAAGTAGTTACAACTTGGTCAATATATCCATTTCGGGAACCTATAGGATGCCAGAACAGGATGAGACCACGGATTTCGTTCCGGCTGGCTTCCACCCGGTGGCAGTCACGGTCGCAAATGTGCAGAGAAGCTGCAAAACGGATCGGGGCGCTGTGACAGTGCATCCATACGTTTCCTCATCTCTTCTCCGTTCCTCTCTCTCTTTATCTCTTTCCTCCTCTCGCTAGACACAAATGTCCAAAAGACCGGCAAGTCTTTGGGTTCTACACTCTTCTCTGTGCCCTAACAATTGATCTCGCAGGCACCCGAGTCAAAACAGGTACGCGTTGTGTTTCAATTGAGGAACACCATACTCATCGCACTTTCTGCAGCCTCCAGCAAAAAGGGTATATACTATACCTCCCTCTGTTTCACGACGTGCGCTGAGTTCTGCTGCAGCATCAAGGTTTACACCTCGCAGTTAGAGTCGGTACGGGCAAGGCCGAGGATCCTGTAGGTCTTCCTCCTTTTGTTTTGTTGGGAGAAGGATCTTATGCTGCTTCTAGCTTCAGATCTCTGACGACGAGGACGGTACATACCGATTCACTACCGCCGACGCTATCTTTCTGATCAATTCGCGTAAATAGTGCCTGTCGCGCCTCCGCCCATCGCGCTGCCCGCCCAAGCTCCACGCAACGCCACAACCGGTAAGCAAAATGCTGCTTATCAATCCACATCTAACCACTCTGCGTATCCAGCGCCTGTTCAGCCTCCGCATGCCGTGCTGCCCGCCCGAGCACCGCGCAACACTGCAACAGGTAAGCAAAATGCTGCTTGTCAATGCATATCTGACCACTTTGCGCATTTAGTGCCTGTCAATTCCGTTGCATCCAAATCTTCTTCGAGTACAATCAATGAACCGCGTCGGCGGGGCCCAGCAGTACGTGATTTACTCCTCTACTTGTCTTCTTTCCTGAGTTTGTTTCAGCCTTTCACACTGGATCAGAAGTCGATTCAACGCAAACTCAAAAATGCTCAACGAAAGGAGCTCCGTCAACGCCTAGCACGGGATAATCCCGAGGCCGCAAAACAGCAGATGCGAGAAGCGGGTCAACTGCGGGCTCCCCTCGTTGCCGAAGTCCTGCAGGATGTATTCAACGAGCTGGCGACCTACGAGCTCGCCATCGCTCATGCGCTGAGCACACCCTATCCATCAGATCTCATGTTTATTCAAGCAGTAGTCAACGTGTACGTCTCTGCTCGTGGCCATATTCCAATTCCGTCGTCATCCCCGGTTTGGAATTCTTTTGGCCCCTGAGAAGTTTCTCTCTTTGCAGCCATCGCCAGGAATCCGACACAATGGGACGCTTCCTCCTTTCTCCAAGACCGCACCATTATCTTGAGCAAAAAAGGCGACCCTCCCCCTGTTTCCGCCGTCCACAACTACATCCGTCGCATCGCTGTTCCAAACGCAACAAAGGCACTCAAGAACTTTCTTGTTGCATATCCTGCCAATGCCGCCTCGACCACCCTCCAGCTGATTCTTCAAGGAGAAAATCTTGAACGCATCAAAGATATGTTTGTCGACTCTCTGCGTGCTTATGGCTTGGAGGACGCCGCGATCGCTTTCATGGACCTCGTAATCAACCACCCTGCCACCAAGATACTACATAGAAAGCACGTTGGGCTCAGGAATGCCCCGCAGAAGCTGGCGTATACGGGCATCACAGAAGCAGTTGCTTGCAGGGATCGTGCCGAGCACGACTTGCGCAATGGCGTTGCTGTCGCCGTTATCAACTTCCTCACATCCAATGAGGAGCTGGCCGTTGAAACTTACCACATCCCTGGCCTCAACACCCCCACATTTGGCCCATACGATCTCCGCACAAACCCGGTCGCAAGTCAGGAGGAGCGCATC